GTGAACAAGACAGACAAAACTACCTGCCTGTTTGGAGAGGAGGACAACAAAACAAGCACACAAACAAGAAAATGTTAGATAAGTGTGATGCAGAGAATTAGAATATATAGTCACTAGGTGGCTATTTTCGACTGGGTGGCTAGTTTCAACTGAAATGGCCTTTCCGAGGAGGTGACATCTATACTGAGATCTAAATGATAGGAAGTGAGGGACCAGCCATTCAGAGTTTAAGGGGCAAAGCATTCTAAAGATAGGACCAGCTAATATGAAGGCTTTCAGGCAAAATGAAGTCTGATTGAAGAGCTGAAAGAAGGCCAGAGCAGCTGAAGCACAGGGGTACAGGGGGAGTCATGGGAGAGGAAGTTGGAGTCAGCTCATGTATGCTTTCTAAGTCAGGGAAAAGGGTCGAAATCTGATTCTTTGGGCAATGATGGGAAGCCACTGGAGGGGTTTAAGCGAGAGGGTGACATGATATGGTTTGTGTTTGAACGAGATCACTCTGCTTGCTGTGGGAACAACAGATTGAGGGGGTGACAGGAGGAGCAGGGACCACGTAGGTGCTTTGGTGGCAGTCTGGTTCTCCTCCAAGTACTTGCTTCATTTAAGACAAATAAAAATCAAAAGCTCCTCGTTTTTAAGCAAAATATTAAAATTCTTATCATCATCTAACAGGACCTGGATGGGCTGACCTCTCTCTGGCCTCCTGTACACCATCTTTGCTCCTGCTATTGAGCCTTGCTGATCTTTTGTCAGCTCCTCAAATATATAATTCCTTCAGGTCACAGGGCCTTTGGACTTGCTGTGCTTATACGTTATTTGTGTACGTGATAAAATATACATAACATAAAATTTACTATCTTTAACCATTGAAAAGTGTACAATTCAGAGGCATTAAGTGCATTCACAATGTTGTACAACCATCATCACTCTCTAGCTGCAGAACTTTTTCATCACCTCAACAGGAAACACTGGACCTATTAAGCAGTCACTTCCCATTCCCTCCTCCCCCAGCCCCAGGCGACCATTAATCTGCTTTCTGTCTCTATGGACTTGCCTGTTCTGGACAGTTCACAAAAATGGAATAATACAACATGTGGTATTTGCATGGCTTCTTTCACTCAGTATAAAGTTTCCAAGATTCATCCGTATGGCTTCCCCAGTGGCGCAGTGGTTAAGAATCCGCCTGCCAATGTGGGGCACATGGGTCTGAGCCCTGTTCTGGGAAGATCCCACATGCCGCGGAGCAACTAAGCCTGTGTGCCACAACTACTGAGCCTGCACTCCAGAGCCTAGGAGCCACAACTCCTGAAGCCCAGGCACCTAGAGCCCATGCTCTGCAACAGGAGATGCCACCGCAATGAGAAGCCTGCGCACCGCAACAAAGAGTAGCCCCCACTCACCGCAACTGGAGAAAGCCCACGCGCAGCAACAAAGACCCAACACAGCCAAAAATAAATTTAAAAAAAGAAAAAAAAGATTCATCCATATGGTAGCATGTGTTAGTACTTCATTCCTTTTTATGACTGAATAATATTCCATTGCATGGATTTACCATAGTTTGTTTACCCATTCCTTAGTTGATAGACATTTGTTTAAGTTGTTTCCACCCTTCAGCTGTTGTGATTAGTGCTACTGTGAACACTCATGTACACGTTTTTGTTAGAACACCTGCTTTCAATTTTGTCACACCTAACAGTGCTATGTGATATGGTAGCTGTGGTCATATTTTGAGGAACTGGAGATCAGTGAATCTTAGACATGTATTAGTTTCCTGTGGCTGCTGTAACAAAATATCCCCAAATGGGTGGTTTAAAATAACTTAAAAATTTTATTTTCTCACAGTTCTGAAGGCCAGAAGTCTGAAATCAAATTGTCAGTAGTGACATGCTTCCTCTGAGACTAAGTAGAATTCCTGCTTGCCTCTTCCTAACTTCTAGTGGTGACAGTCAATCCTTGGCGCTTTTGGCTTGCAGCTGCATCATTTCAATCAGTCACATGGCATTTACCCTGTTTGTCTCTGTGTCTTCACATGGCCCTCTTCCTGGGTCTCTTCTTCTTTCAAGGATACCAGTTATATTGGATTAAGGGCTTACCCTATTCCAGGATGACCTCCTCTTAACTTAAATAATTATATCTGCAACAACACTATTTCCAAATAAGGTCACATTCTGAGGCAATGGGGTTAGGACTTCAACATCTCATTTTGGAGGACACAATTCAATCCATGACAAACTGACAGACATTACTGTGCATCTGAATCCCCTGGGGATCTTGTTAACATGGGCTTGCGGTGAGGCCTGAGTTTCTGCATTTTCAATAAACTCTCCCAGCTGATATCAGTGCTGCTAGTTCACTGATAGGGTGGCTGACTGGTTTTGGTTTTAGCAATAAAAATCCAGAGTTAAAGGAAACCCCTCAGTCCTGGGAAAACTGGCATGGTTTGTCACCCTATTATATCACAGACCACAATTTGAATAGCAAGGATCCAGCTATGAACTATGGTAATTTACCCATTAATTACATTGCTGACTATTCATATTTATCTTTACATTTAAATAACTTATTTTTGCTAGAACAGTCCAAGTTTTCAAGAATCTGGACCCCAAAAAGCTCCAAACTGTGAAATGGTGAGTTAGTTGAGCTGATGGGCACCATCTGTGAATATCATATATTAACTCATGAAATTATCTACGATGCTCAGCAGTGCCCCTGTTGGGTTGAAAATGGAGATTTCTGACCCCTTTACAGAGTAATTATGCATGGGCAAGAACTTTTTTTTGGCTAAGAGTACTCACTGGGTTTGAAATCTTCAGTATCCTTCTTTTGCTGCTGCCCAGGGACTGTAAAAATGAAGGCGAAAGCTCCTTTCTGACATTGGGTTTGAGCTCACTGCAGTAGGGACAGCGTCCCTCCACTCTTGATTCCTATTAGGACCACCTGAAGAACTTTAAAAACTGCTGAGCCCTCACTCCGGACCAAATGACTCAGGCTACCTGGGATTGGGCACAGGCAGTCAGAGCTTTGTTCTTGTTGTTGTCGTTGTTTTAAGTTCTCCAGGTGATGCAAATGAGCAACCAGAGTAGAGAATCATTGTGCAAGGTCTTCCTTTATAAGAGAAACCTTGCCAATCTGTTCCCTAATCCTTTTTTCACCTGCACCCATATTCGTCTCTACTCCTCTCTATGTCCACATACTTCTTTGTTATGGTTGATCATTACCTTAAGCAAGTTCTCCTCTTCCTCATATCTGTGTCCTGTTTATACAATGACCTCACTAACCTGGGACCATGTACAACCCATTGGCGGTAATAATTACTCCTGCGACTGACCTTGGCAGGCTTTCCTCAAGCTTTATTGACTGTGTTTCACTCTTTCACAAAAGGTATCCTTAACATCATCCACAACTGAGTTAGCCCATGATAGTGTCACTGTTTTGACTGCAGACTCTCTCAGGAATCAAGTGAAATCTCCCACAGAATCCGTACTGTGTGTTCTTCTACAAACCATCCACAGGAAATCTGGGTGGAGTGTACATTACTTTTTTTATTGGCATATAATTCACGTGCCATAAAATTCACCCTTTTAAAGTGTCCAATTCAGTGGTTTTTAGTATATTCACAAAACTGTGCAACTGTCACCACAGTCTAATTCTAGAACACTTCTGTCACTCCCCAAAGAAACCCCCTACTCACTAACAGTCACTCCTCATTCCTGGCGCCCCCTGCAACCACTAATCTATTTCTGTCTCTATGGATCTATCCTGGACGTTGCCTATAAATGGACCGTTCAACATGTGGTCTTTTGTGTCTGGCTTCTTTCATTTAGCATATTTTCAAAGTTCATACATGTTAAAGCATGTACCTCAGCACTTCATTCCTTTTTGTGGCCAAATAATTTTCCATTGTATGGATGTACTATATTATGTTCATCCATTCATAATTGATGGTCATTGGGGTTGTTTCTGCTTTCTGGCTATGGTAAACGGTGCTATGAACATTCATGGACAGGCTTTTGTGTGGACAAGTTGTCATTGCTTTTGGGTCTATACCTAGGAGTGGAATCGCTGGGTCATGTGGTAACTTTATGTTTAGCTTTTTGAGCAACTTCTGAATTGGTTCTGAACGGTATTTTTTGACCTTGAAACAGTTCTCTTTTAGTGTGAGGTGGTGTGTACTTGTTAGGGTGGGAAAAATGAGTCTCAGGGACTTTAAACATTTTTTTTCTGTTATCTGTTATACATTTCATGTGCAGGAACAATGGTACCTTCATACAGAAACTTCTTGTCATTCGGCTTCATCATTTCAAAATGTGAGGAAATCTAAAACATGGAGCTCCCGCATTGGCAAGGATTGGGGGTGTCTGTCTGAGTTCCCGGGTTCCTGACCATCCCTCCAGCTGTATCTCCGGCCACCTGCCCCAGTCTGTTACTGGCACAGACAAGGCCTGCTTGTTCCAAGGACATGACTACTGGGCCACTTCCATCTGAGAAGGCCTGGTGGGGCGTCCAAATGCAGAAACCTGATTGCTTTCCGGGGATAGCAATAAACCAGATGCTGACAACCCTGCAAATGTAAAGCCCCATTGTGTACAAAGCAGAAACTCACGTGCCACGGCAGCCACGAAAAGGCCCTGACCTTCGACCCGGCCTCCATCCAGGTTCTCCTACTCCCTCCTGGATGCCCTGCCCCGCTCCTCGGCTCGGGGTCTGAGCCTGCGCGGGCTCGCGGAGGCGGGCGGCCTTCTCCGCATGCGCAGTCTCTGCCGGCCTGTTCCTTCAGCGGGGGCTCTGCCGAGTGCGCGCTCACGCACACGCAACGTCTCGTCTGCGCGCTCACGGGGCCTCTCGCGGCACGCACCTCCGCCCTGCCCGGCCCCGCCCCGCCTCCTTCCCCCTCCCGCGCGCCGGCCCGCCGCGCGCCGCTGCCGCTGCCGCCGCTGCCGCTGCCGCCGCCGCCGCCGCCGCCGCCGCCGCCGCCGCCGCCGCCGGAGCTCTGTAGTATGGCATCGAGGAGAATGGAGACCAAACCTGTGATAACCTGTCTCAAAACCCTCCTCATCATCTACTCCTTCGTCTTCTGGGTGAGTGGCCACGCCTGACCGGCGGCTGGGCCGCCGTCCATCGGTCAGTGTAGTGATGCTCCGGGAAGGGAAGGGGGAGGAAAAAACCCAAAGCAAATATCAAATCTCGGTCCCCTCCTTCAGGAGACAGGCGCAGAGCTGGGGCTGCAGGATGGCGGGGTGCAGGCTTGGGGCTGCTCAGACCCTGGATCCCGCCCGGTGCAGGGTGTAAGGGGCTGCGTGGTGGCGGTGACTGCAGGTTGCTGACCTTTCCAAAATATTTTAATGCATTGACTTATTTTTTTAACTCGCGGGTTAGAGTCAGCCTCTGGGGAAAGTTGCGGGTTTATTCGTCTGTTTTCCACTCTGGACACCCCTCCCCACCCTCCCTTAGCAGCCCGTTCGCGGTGTTTCTTGGAGCTAACCTGTGGCCGGCTGGGAGCAGGCGCGAGAGCGCAGGGTTTGATCCCAGATTCCCGGTTATTCCCGACCCCGCGGGGCTGCGAGAGGCAGGCGCTGGGAGCCCTGAGCTGCCTGGCTGGGCAAGGGCGACCAAAGGCCTCCAAACGCAGTGATGGGGGGCGGGCGCCGTTGCCGCGCGGAGACGCACAGAGGGGAGAGGGTCTTACATAACCCAGGGGCATCTTTGCGCTTTCTCGGCGACCCAGGAGATGGGTCTTAGGACCCTTTTCCCACGGCCTTGCACCCTTACACCCTTACACTTATCTTTCTGTCATTGCCTAAACCCGATCCGCAGAGCCCTGGGGAAGGACCCCAGCCACTTGGTGACAGCAGTAGCGCCTCAACTCTGCTCCCCATCTAACTGGTGCTGCTACGGGTCCTTGAAGCTCAGTGCAGAAGGATGACGTCAGCCCCTCAGCCGAAGCTTTGGGGGGCTGCGTGATGCATTTCGCGGAGCTATGCGCGCTTTTGCGCGCAGGAGGAGGAGGAACGGGGCGGGCGGTGCTCCAGGCTTGTGCCTTACCTCATCCTGTTTGGCAATTCGTGGAGTCAGTGCCGGGCTGACACTGCAGTGATTCATTTGAAGTAGGTGGTACCTAAAGATCATTCCCCATTATCTCTCTTTCCATGTCGACAACTCCCTTCTCCCCAAGTTCTCCTTTCCTACACCAAGCCACAGCCACCCTGCAGGAGAATGAATGTCTGTCACCACCACCCCCAACACACACACACACACACACACACACACACACACAATCTGGGTCATTTCAGCGTTCAAGGCAGTCATTTTGAAACCTGAGGCTCTGCAGAAAAAGCCAGTCCTGCCTTTGGTTGTTTTTCTCTTTGCCAATTAGCCCTAATTGGTCCTAATTTTGGTTTGAAACTGGGGCACAGTGCTTTATGAGGTACCCAGACTCGGCTTGATGGTGAAACAAGCTGTTTGTAATGACCAAGACAGGAACTGAGATTTATTAAGGATTTAAAAAAAAATCCTAATGCGCCCCCACCCCCGTGGACATTCCTTGTCACTGGCATTGGTGATTCTTCAGGTCGGGAAATTGTGGACTCTGGAGACCAGGCATACCAAGAACTCTGCAGTGAGATAAGGTAGAATAACAGGTATATCACACAAGGCAACCACAGAAATGGACTTTATTTGGACTGAAAACAACGCAGGTTGAAAATTTTCAGCAGTGGAATTGTGAGCTCTGCACAGATCCTATATTATGTTCTTCTTGGAAAAAGCAATAATGCATGCTGGTTGCTGAAACTTCCCAGTAGCCATTCCTCGGAACTGGCTTAGCTATTTTTGTTTGTTTGTTTCATTAAATCTCTTTGTGTTTGATCCTTTAGTATTTACTTGACTTCCTATTTGTTACTGGAGTAAATCATATGGGTGATTATTTTTAGCTTCCTGAAAAATCTTTCAGCATCCCTGTAGGCTGGTAAAGAAGGGAGTCTTCTAGACGAAGCCTTTTCATAGCTCTTTAACTCTTCTTGGCTTACCTTCCCCCCACCTCATGAATCTAATTACTTGATGCACCCTGATACATCTTAAGCACAGAATTTTATGTCCTCTGAAGTTCCTTGATGCCTGCATTTTAATTTTTTCCTACTTCCAAGATTTCCATAGTCTTAAAGTGTTGACCTAAAGCATTTTCAGTAGTTGAAATAGCCTTCAATAATCATTTCATACTTCACAACCAAAGAATGAGATCTCTCCAGATGCAAGGGTATTTCAAGCAAGACATTTTCATTAATAAACCATGGTCCAAATGCTGTGTTCTCCATTGTACCTTAAATGCTCTTTTTCTTTTTAAACAGCTTTATTGAGAAGTAATTCACATAAGATGTAATTCACCCTTTTTAAAGTGTACAATTCAGTAAGTTTAGTATATTCACAAATTTGTGCGACCATCACTCCAGTCAATTTAGAACATTTTTATTACCTGAAAAAGAAACCCCATGCCCTTTAGCTGTCATTCCCCTTTTCCTCCCAATAAGCCCCACCACCCCAAGCAATCACTAATCCTTCTTCTTTTAAAAATATAAATTTATTTATTTATTTATTTTTGGCTGAGTTGGGTCTTCGATGCTGCACGTGGGCATTCTCTGGTTGCGGCGAGCGGGGGCTACTCTTCGTTGCGGTGCGCGGGCTTCTCATTGCGGTAGCTTCTCTTGTTGAGGACCACCGGCTCTAGGCATGGGGGCTTAAGTAGTTGTGGCTCGCGGGCTCTAGAGCGCAGGCTCAGTAGTTGTGGTGCACGGGCTTAGTTGCTCCATGGCATATGGGATCTTCCCGGACCAGGGCTCGAACCTGTGTCCCATACATTGGCAGGCGGATTCTTAACCACTGCGCCACCGGGGAAGCCCTAATCTACTTTCTGTATCTATAGATTTCCCTTTTTTGGACATTTCATCTAAATGAAATCATATAGTATGTGGTCTTTTGTGAATGGCTACTTTTGCTTAGCATAACGTTCTCAAAAATCATCCATGTTTATTCCTTTTTATGGCCAAATAATACTCCACTGTATGCCTGTATCACATTTTGTTCATTCATTTGTCCACTGTTAGACATTTGGGTTGTTTCTGTCTTTTGGCTATTATGAGTAACAGTGCTACAAACATTTATGTACAAGTTTTTGTGTGAACATGTCTTCATTCCTCTTGAGTATATACCTAGGTGTGGAATTGCTGGGTCATATGGTAACTGTGATGAATCATTTGAAGAACTGCCAGACTGTTTTCCAAAGTGACTATCATTTTACATTCCTGCCAGCAGTGTATGAGTATGTTGATTTCTCCACATCCTTGCCAACATTTGTTATTATCTGACTTTTAAAATTCTAGCCATCCTAATGGGTACCTCATTGTGGTTTGGATTTGAATTTTCTTGATGAGTAATGATGTCGAGCATCTTTGTATGTGCTTATTGGTCATTTGTATATCTTCCTTGAAGAAATGTCTCTTCATATCCTTTGATCAATTTTTATTTATTTTTTAATTATTGAGTTGTATATGTTCTTTATGTATTCTTGACTCAAGTCTCTTATCAGGTATATCATTTGCAAATATTTTCTCCTATTCTGTGTGTTGGTTATTCACTTTCTTGGTGGTGTCCTTTGAAATACAAACTTTTTTATTTTGATAAAGTCCAGTCTACCTATTTTTCTTTTGTTACTTGTGCTTTTGGTGTCATATTTAAGAATCCTTCACCAAATGCAAGACTATGAAGAAAACACTGTCTGTAAGAGTGACAACAATTCAGTAAATGCAGTTGATAACTTCATCTTTCTCTGGCACCTAGAACTGTCTGACACATAGTAGGTACTAAAATATTTGTCAAAACTTCTGGAGTTATGTTAGGTAATTAACAAAGAGGATGATCTTGGTGTTCTTTTAAGTGAAAGATGGAGGAAAGATTAGGCAGAATTTTTTTCCTTCCTGTTCTTGGTGAATCATTTTAATGGGACTGCTTCTCTTCCCTTAGCTCAGTTTAGATTTAGGACTAGAAGACATTTGAGCTTAAAATGGTGGTAGACCAGTAGCATCAAGAGATTGATGTACCTACAGTTGTGAAAGATCTTTGTTTTATCTGGCCTCCTCTTCTATCTATAATCACTCTCCCTCTCTGAGATGTTCCTCTAAAGCAGAGGTTCTCAACAGGGGACAGTTTTGCCTCCCCCCCCCAATAGTTGGCAATGTCTGGAGACATTTTTTAGTTACTGCTGGGAGTGGGGTGCTATTGGCATCTAGTTGGTAGAGGCCATAGGTGCGGCTAAGCATACTACAAGATACGGGACAGCCCCTCACAAGAAAGAGTTTTATGGCTCAGAATGTCAACAGTGCCTACAACCTCTGCACTAGTGAACTTTACATAGTATACTAGTAAGTCCTATGTAGAAAAAGAGAGTCTTATGCAAAACTCCCAATATATACTGTTGTTTGGAACCACCATACCCGAGCATTCTCAACACAATCACAAGTAAGAAGAAAAACATTCTCCATGGTGTACCATAGTTCTTTATTTGAAGACAAAGGTAGATAGTTCTTTATATAATAGTGTTGAAATGGATGAGACGATCTGTCCTCCGTTTAGATAGCATCACCTGAATGTTAGGTAAATGGCTCCTTTATTCTCTTTGATTTGTATGTTTCATTTTCAGGTTTATAGAAGAGGAGGAAAAAAAAACACACCTAGGAGTAAGTTATCCTGTGCTTTAAGACTAGCAAACAGTGCCTGGCACATAACAGGTTTACTCTGGCAGTATTTACTTAATGAATGAATGGATAAATGAAATTTTATTGACTACTCTTGGGCTCATGTATTTATTTCAACTCATCTCAATTGGGAGGCTTTTTAAAATGATATTTCCTGTCTACCTGTGGTGGTTTAAATGTGTTCCTGACAGTGATGTGTGGAAAGGTGGAGTAGAGGACTGTATAAGACTTACTTATCCTAATGTTAGTTCAATTATTATATTTTTATGATCAGCTAGTTTGCCGGACATTTCAGTTACCTAAAATTTTAATTGGAATTGAATTTGCTATGTTTC